ACACGCAATAAGAATGGTTGATGTCATTAAAAGCCTTATTTAGCAAGATTTCAATATGATCTTTTTAAAACTATTATAAAGATGTAGATCTAATATTTAGGATTTATCAATAAATTTGATCAAGGAATATGTGTGAATTTGTCTGAGCGGGTCAGCTGTAGAATCATCCATGTTGTTATCTCATACTTTTTGGCACCTCGACCCAGATGAATATGAATATAAAATTTCGGAGCATAGGTTGCTTTTCTTTTTTTTTTTTTTTAGCAAACATGTACACTGCTATTATTTTAACTACATATATGCCTTTGAAGATGTCTATTTACAAGATGGTAAAAGGAAAATAATTTTTTTTTTTTTTATAAAGATTATTATTTACCTTTTTAAATGTGAAAAATCTTTTTATTAAAAAAAAAAAAAAAAGTTTCATATTTATTTCTTTAAAGAGAAACATTACATTGTATTGTATTAGTTGGTTTGCATTTTTAAATATAAAATTATTGTAAATAGTAATATTTCTGTTGTAAATTCCCAAAGAAAATGTAAAAATTCAATTTGTTTGGGTTTCATTTAAAACTGCTGAGGGAGTGAAGGTAAGTAAAATTGGCATCTAGTTGTTTTAAAACTTATTGCATTGTAGATGGTTGACACATTTTAATAATATTGTAACTTAAAAAAAAAAAAAAAAAAATTTGAATAAAAATCTTTTTCATTTAGTTTCTTTATAAAAAAAAAAAAGAAAAAGAAAGGGAAATAAATCTTTTATAATTCTGTAAATAAATATTGCCAAGGGAATGAACATAGTTAAAATAATAGTTGTCAATAGAAGAAACATCCATTTGAAACAGTTAAAAAAATAATTAGGTTCTACTAGTGAAAACCATTTCTCCGATTAGAATGAAATCGTCTGTAGGCAGATACTCTTCAAGGTTGACTCAGAAACCAACAGATTTGAGGCCACCTGCAATATTTTTTTTTTTATTATTGTTCTAACATAATTTTGTCCACTTTAAAAGAAAAAGAGAGAAATAGGTTGGATGCCATGTTACAGGCTGAGAATAACAGGCAAACTGAGAAGAACATTAAAGAAAATCTTGACAAATCATCTGAAGACAACATAAATTGAAAGTTTGTACCCTTTCAATCAAATGCATTAATGTTTAGAACATTTTTCACAAACATGGCATTCTATACTACAGATATAATCATGGTGCAACTAAAGGCCAGACCTGGAAGCTTATTTCAAAATGTTTGAATTTCAGACATTTTGTGTTACCCTTAAGGATAATATAGTGTTGAAATATATATTTTTGTCTAAGTCACTGGTGAACTTTTAATAAGACAAAGAGGAAACCAACATTTCAGGCCAAAAGATATAGCCACATAATGTTAAGGTTACAACAATTCTGACCTACAATGATTTGGAGTCATGATGCAATTTTCATTAATTGTATTCAACTTATAGCACCAAAGTGAGGAAGATGGTATGGATTAGCACCTGGTTGTAAACCCCCTATTGGATTGTTGTACATTCACTCTTTCATTTGTTGTGCCTGTAGAAACTTATTGCCCTTCATTATGGCAACCAATCAAAGTGTAACTTCATCTGGTGATAGTGCCTCAAAGAAAAGGGAAGTCATCACTATGGAAATTAAATTAAACATTGTTAAATGCTCTGAAAAAGGGAGAAACAGTGACAAATATTGGCCAGTTGCTTGGTTTAAGTTGTTCAACTGTAGCTTTAAAAGTAAAAAAAAAAAAAAGACGTACATACTGTGAAAGTCAATATGTATACAGGTAAGAGATAAGGATATTTGTACTGTTAAACTATAAGTTAGTGTATTCCTAATAATACATCAACCCCCACCCGTTTCCCAGACTTGTAGCTTCTGAGTTTCTGTAAAAGAAACAAGATCTTATGCTTTGTCATCGTATCTACTGTGACCCAATGCCACCGCTGGTAATAAATATACAAGCAGCTTAAAATATACACACACGTTAATGTGTGTATGTGTGTTTTTTTTTTTTGTAAAGTCCTAGATTATTACGTTAATATAGGTGAGTGATGCAAGTGCTTCTTCTTGGAAAAATTACATTAGGAGCCATCATAGGAATAGAAGTCTGTCATAAGTCAAGGCATCTGTATTACTTTTCAATATAACTTGTACAAAAATCTATGAAAATGTCAAAACTTTTAGAGAGTCCAGTTATATGTACTTTCATCTCAGAATTATTCACTTGAAAACTGTTTTAAGAGAAAAAAAAACAAAAACACATGAAGTGGCTATCGTTATGTTGACTTACTTTGTCTTAAATACATTTTGTTATGAAGAAACAAATTATTTAAATATGTAGTTTAGAAATAGGATTAGATGTTTCATACACCTTGTTTATAATATCTAAAAATATCAAATTAACTTTTTTAATCTCGTATAAAAATAATCCTTTTGACCCCCCCATATGCTCAGCTAAATGAAAACCTTTTAGAACAAAAAATCTAATTACTCAAAATTAAATTTTATCAATAGATTAGTAATGAATAACAATAACATGGAGAAAAACATTAGCGGCAATCAATGACCTTTGTGCAATAAGAGGGTAAAAAATGCACCCACCCCACACCAATACTACTTTTTAAATTAACTTCACTGTTTTAAAAAGCAATTAGAATAGTAATATAACCTAAACACATGATGAAAGTGAATTCATACATTTTCTTTATTTTTGTTAATTCTCAAGAACACTATTGAAACAGTTTGAAAAATGTCAGCTTATTTACCAAAATAAAAAAAGGGATTTCCTTATATTTCCATATTCTAATTTAATAAATGAAAAATTTATGAATAAAAAAAAAAAATTGTCATTTATTTCTTAATAAATTGGTAAATTTTGCATTGTTTTTAGAATATTGTTAATATAAAATTATTCTTGTAAATTAACAATCTAACAAATGGCATTTTGTTGTAAATTCAAATTTCATCATGCTTACATTTTATTAGAATTCTAATCATTGCCTTAAAAAAAAAAAAAAACATTGCCAAATTGTGATGGTAGCTAAAATAAAAGCAGTCTCATAGGGAAAATAGCCCCTTTTTGTACCTTATCTTATTGCAGGCCAGGTTTGCAAGATTAGCTGTATGTGACAAAAAATGGCATTTTTAAATTAATTTTTTTTTCAGTGTAAAAATAGAATCAGATGTCATTGTAGGAAAAATTTGTTAAATATTAAAATTAACTTTTGAGAGAATCTCTAACATTTGTAAAGAGAATGACTAGACCAAGAAATTAATTCTTTAAATCAAGTAAATATACAAATTTTTCTGTAATTTTGCAAAGAAAGTTACATCATGGTATAAGAGCAATGGGTAAAAATTCAACATGTCTTTATTTGTTACAAACAAAAATAAAAATTATAGAGAAAAAAAAAAAAAAAAAAAAAAAAAAAAAAAACAAACAAACAAATCAATATTTGATTTTATGAATAAAAATTTCATTAAGAAAATTTTAAGTAGAAAAATATTAAACTTCCAAGTGACAAGACAAAGATTCTTAAATTACATTTCAAGTGAATTCCACACAAACAGGTTCGTTTTTGGAATAAACAAAATATCAAGTCCCATGGAAATAAAAAATCTTATACTTCAATTAAATAAGCCAAACTTAGTGGAAGGTCAAAAGCAAAAATTACTTAAACTGACTTCAACAGCAAACTACTGTAAACTCCAACATCTCTCTCCAACCTGAGTTAATCTCTAGTATAGAATGCCATGTTCATATTGTAATGTAAATTTTCTTTATTCAAAAATGTTACCTAATCACCTTTTTTCACAGAAAAAGCATATATTTTAATAAGTGGAAAGCGATTCCCAATACTGCCTAGAAGAGGATTTGCCTGGTATGTGCATCTTCAGTAAAATGCACTCACAACCAAATTCAACAGACCCAACCCCCACCTTCCTACTTCTGTGCAGGATTTGTTAAAGAAGAAATTGAAACAGAAAATTTCACGAAACAAAGCCAGTATTGGTAGTAAACAAGCCTAAAATAAGTGGGTTTTTTTTTTTTTTGTCTAAGCAACCGTACTTTATCTTAACATTTAAGAAAAAGAAAAGAAAAAAAAAAAAAAACAACATTGTTGGATTTTCCCCATCCCCATTTTTTTAGCCAGCCCTACATCACCACAAATCTTGAGCAATATTATTTTTTGCTGGTTCGTTTCTCTCCAACATTTATTTTTGTCATTTTAAACAATAACTACAATTCAAGTCAATTGCCAAAACGAGTGGAGCAGGGTTGCCAAATGATTTTCTCTCCAAGTAGCCACAGGACAAAAAAAAAAAAAAAAAAAAAAAAAAAAAAATTTAACAGGGTAATGCCATAGAGAGAATAATACTAACTTTTGGGGTGGAAGTGGGGTGGGGGCAGGAAGTAAAAGGAGTATTGTCCACAGTTCAAAAATAGCCAACTTCATTAAAAAGGGAAAGAAAAAAAAAAAAAAAAAAAAAAGAAAAAAAAAAGAAAAAGAAAAAGAAAAGAAAAAGAAAAGAAAAAGAAAAGAAAAAAAAAGAAAAGAAGCAACCCCTACTCCATCATAAAACAAGGTTCGTTCTCCCTCCCTCTCTCGCGCTTTCTCTGGTGTCACCAATTCCTTCTTTACCAATGTGATGATCAACTGTGACAGTTTCAGTTTCTTCTCTTTATTTAATTATATGTGTATACATAACTTTTTTTTTTTGTTTTGTTTTTTTTTTCACCATCATTTTTCAAAGTTAGAGAATATAAGGAAGATAGTGAACCAGGTTCAATCAAGATGAAGCTATTCAGAACTTCAGGTTTTTTGTTTTGTTTTTTTTTTCTTTCCAATATTATTTGTGTATGCATGTCAGTGCCCATATATTTGTCTGGGTCAGAGAGTGGTTGTAACTGCTCTTGGGAAAATAAAGACAGGCTGCAATGATGGCAGAAACTTCAGAATAAATTATTAGGAAGAGTTGAAGTTGTCTTCACCTATTAGCAAGCCGAGAGAGAGGGGGGGGGGCATTAACAGATTTTGGCCCTTGTATACCTAGTGGAAAATCAAGGTGGGGGGACACTAAATTGGGAGAGATTTTAAAAGACTTGGAAAGAAAAAAGGATGTAAGAAAAAATGCTACCCTTTAAAAGATTACAAGTTTTTAGTCTCATCAACAAATTGCATTTAAATCAGAAACTTAATTAATGGTTAATAAAAATTCATTTTATTCTTCATTGTATTCCCCCCACTCTGCTTGCATATCAAGCTAAAACTAACAAATAATAAAAGAACAAATAGTCAATTAACTAAATAATCCAACAGAAAGTGAAATTAAGTACAAGCCAATTGAGAGATTAGATTTTCAAATGATTTCATTTTTCTTAAAAAAGAAAGTAGAAATGTGATAGTAAGACTTAGAACTTTTCATTTAAAACCCGTGACATTTGATTCAGATGATCCAAAAACAGAGACCAGGACAAATTGAAGCCAATTGATTGCTGGAGATCAATGCATGTTCAACTAACAGAACCTTTAAAAAGTTTATCCTGGCAGTCTTTAGTATTCTTTCATTAAAGTACTGATGACTGGAAAGGGTTTTTCCTAAGTGACAGAAAGCAGGGAGTTCTTAATAGAACCACATGCACCTAGAAAAGAGGACAATTGAAATGCTATTTAAGATTTACCGTTCAATACAAGGATAAATAAATCTATATAATTTAAAGCTACCTTTCTTAAACAAGTTTATCAAAATGAAGAGAATCCAAAAACAGCACTTAAAATTAATTTCAATCCTACACCAACCAAAAGTAGATTTTTCAGTTAAAGACTTTGGGAGAAACAGTATGCTCATAAAATGTGTGGCAAGGGCTTACACACACACACAAAAAAAAAAAAAAAAAAAAAAAAAAAGAAAAAAAAAGAAGAGGGGGACAAGAGAGAGAGAGAGAGAGAGAAAGAAAGAGGCTAGAAGAGGCGGACTAAATCCAAGCTGGCAGGAGAGAGAGCCTCCAGCTTACGGCTTATTTTGCAGGCCAATGATCACAGTGTTTGAAAACCACACCCCCTATCTCTCCTTTATAATGTACAATTTTGTGGAGAGGTTCAAAAGCATTGTCTTTCACAGACTGTTAGCAAAAGATTAATAATTGCAGTTTTATAGCCTGGCTTACAAAATAAGGCTTGGAGCACCAGTTAAAAAAAAAATTACAATAGACTGAAAGGTCAGGTCATCAGGATGGAACTGACTGTTCTCCAACCTAAGAAGCAAAAGGTTCCCATCACCTAAACCTGGTAGAAAGCCTTTTGGGAGTGGGGAGGAAGAGAGAAAAGGAAAGAGCAGTCACTGGCCAGCCAGACACAGATTCTGGTGGCCTTAAGGGGAGGGGAGAGGGCAGAAGAGTGTGTAGAAATCAGTATATCTGTGTGATTGCAGACATCCAAATTTGATTAATTTTACATGAAGTCTTCAGCAAAGTCATCATAGCCTAAATCAGTTAAGTCATCATTACGAGTAACTTTTAAAGAGGCTTTGTTTTTCTTCTTTTTCTTCTTTTCAGTTTCCTGCAAAGAAAGAAATTAAATCAGTCAATAGCAAACACAAAATTTCCAAACAAAATCCATTTTCTTTTTTTTAAAGACGAGATGTTTTTAGATTAAAAAAATACTTTAAGAATGTTCTTCACATTACTCATTAAAGAATCCAGTAATGATATTATGAGATATTATGGGATGCCTGCAATAGAGCAATAGTTAATAAGGTGGGCAAACCAATCCATTTCCTAATGTAACAAGTTTTTCTCTAATTAGTAGTATAGCTCCTGTGCTAGAGCATAGTAGATATTTACAAAATAGATCAGATATTTTAAAAAATATTGAGAAAAGAATTCAGAAAATAAAAATAACATCTTACCTTTTGCTGTCGTAGCTTTTCATGATACATGCTGTTGAGTGTTGCACTAAGTTTTCGAACATCTTCAGATTCAACTGAAGGGGGGAGATGAGAAAAATAGAAACCAAAGTGAATGTCAAGACAAATGAGAACAGTTTAATATTAACAAAAATTATAATGAAACAAGCAAGACAGGGTTTTCTAATTAAGAGGGACCAATTTAAGTTTCAAATTTTACATCATTTACTGGTTTCTGCCATTGAACCAGGGTCAGCACTACTTGACCTATAAATTGAAATCACAACCACCAGGGAAATCAGTTAGGCTTCAACTCCTATGTCTCTTGAACTGGGGGTAATTTTGAAACCTCATTGAAACATTGAATGATCAGAGCTTCAAAAGGAACAACATAATGCCCTTTTTGTAATGGAAAATTATTACTTTTGATGTAACAAAGTATTTTTGCCACATCATCTGAAACTAAGAGTTCTATGCTAGGAAAAGTACTTACAAAAGTAACAAGATAAAGGTGAAAAGAAATGGATTTACAAGAGGGGGCTGGTGGTAGTAGCTGTAGAGAAAAGCTCTTAATCTAACAACAAGCCACTTTTGAAATGAGTGAACACAGGTCAACACTGAATGGTAACTGTTTCATGCTTGAAGACAATCTTCTAGACATGTATGTTGAGTGGTAGATCAACCATTTATATTAGTCTGTCAATGGGGCATTATGGATAGCAACATTAGTTATTTCCAGTTGACCTTGCTACCCATAATGCCTCATTGACCAACATATAGCTCTTATGTGAAAGGGAGATAATATCACGCAAGTATGCTTTAATAAAGCAAAACGAAGATTATAGGATAGAATGAAAAAAAAACTCACCATTTATAACAAGATCTGTGAATAACTTGTCTAAAAATGCAGCATAATGTGGTGATTTCTGAAAAGAAAATATAAATCTTGATTTTCCCCAACAAGTCAATTTATTTTCAATGAATAGCACTATTATTGAAATCAGTGAAGAAATCACTGAAGTGTTGAATGTAGACCTACATTTTGTGTAGCATTTTAGTTTCACATACTACACTTGAAAATTTTGAATTATACACATTAATTCTTACTGCTACACGTTTCAGCTATCTAGATGACTCATGGTTTGTGAATGTCACAAATTCTTGACTGCTGCACATTTTCAATGAAGTTAAGTATAATGGTTTTAATGAGTAGAATTACAAATAGAAATTTCCACAAAACTTTTAGCTACTACTACTACTACTACTACTCATGACACAGAACACAATGATGTTAATATTTTTTTCAATTCATCAAGTTTAGCATCTTTTTCCAATTTTGATATCTCTATGGATTTGTTCTTTGCAGATCTTCACATGGCACTGGACTTTGCGACAAGTGTCAAGTTCAGAGTCTGCTCAGACTTCTCTGCATAGCTCACTTGAGCAAATCTTGTGTGCAACTTTCAAACTTGTGATTTTGGTCTTCAGTTCTTCAATTTCCATAAGCATGGATTTCCAAATTTTGTCCAGCTTCTTTTTCCTGCCTGTTTTTCTTCTCAGCCTCAAGGAATTGATTGTATGCTGTTCTGGCATTGGAAGCACTACAGAGAAGAACCTTAGTCATAGGAACATTTCCAGCACCTCCAACTGTGGCCAAATAGTGATAATGCACTGTGTAACCAGAATTTGCTGTTTCATATTACCAGTGGAAATTTTCTTATTGACTGAGAAACCACTCTCCACTATTTTGTTTTTCACAAATGGATCCAGGGTTCAACCATGCAAAGTGACCTTACAAGAGGGTATCTAAGAGGAGTCTTTGCCAAAAGTTTTCAATGATGGCAATGAACATTGCATGTAGAATTGCAACAGAGACAAACATATCTTTTGACACATTTCTTTTTTTGAATAAATTTTGCTTAACCATATCTGCCAGAAATCCACACTTGATCTATGCAGCATCTTTATATGCATGTTTGGGTTTGAGTAAATTCCCAGAAATTCAGTTTGGAAAATGTAATTATCTTTTTAGTGTGCTCTTAAATCTTAAGTTTCATGATCATGCTAAATAGATCATCTGCAAGAAAAAGAAAGAAATGGTGTAAGCACTATTTTATCAGAAACAGTTCAATGTTTTTCTAAACAGACCCAAAAATATGCAGTTTCACTGAAAATAAAACATCATTCACATTTGGCAGCACTGTAGGACTTGGCCTGGAAACATTTTTCTTTTTAAATTAAGTTCACAAATTTGATGACGTCTGGTCAAATGTCTAGGAGTCATTCACATGTTGGTACATTTTCTAGCCATCTATGGCAGAAATATAAAAGTAAAGTGATAAGGTTGCCAGGTTGAACTTTTAATATAAAGCCAAGCAAAAAAAACTAAATAAGTTTATATCTGTGGCAAATATTCAGATAAGCCAAATTCTTTTAGTGTCACCGGCTCACTAGTTTATAACAAGAACTCAAATTGTGACTATGGAGTTCAATAACCTTCATTTTCTCTTTATACCAAAGATAAGGGATAAATCCCCACCCATTGGTACATTGTGGAACAGATGCTCTTCTCTGAACACTATAACCTTAGCCCCATCAAGTCTAGGGTTGTTATATATCCTCTTTATCCTCATATATTCACTTCCTACAACATCACACAACACATGCATCATATTTTAACAGTAAGCCTCTACCTTGAGTAACTGCTCAGTTTTGTATTAAGAATTGAGGGCAGGGAATACACTTCATAATAATAGACAAATACATTTTAAATTCCTATACATATCCCATTGATGCTATAGACACAGAGTTATCTTTTAAGACCACCCCACACTTTTTTCCTGTTGAGGTTTCTGCATTGCAAAGGAAAAGAGCAAAAAGTTCCTCAATGAAAAGTTGTCTCCCTTTCAGCAAGAGAAAGGGCACATGTCCAGGTAAGCCGTGAGCCGTAACCCTCCGTGAATTCATCCAACCCTGACAGAAAAGAGAGTGAATGTATTTTACCTCATATGTCGTTATTTTGTCTTTTAATGCCTGTTCAAATTTTAAAAAATCTTCTTCTCCTTCAGGATGCATTTTATCAATCACTGCCTCCCCATTATCTGACAGACCTGAAAGTCAAAAATATTTCTCCATGGATCAATTAGGATTACACAATTGGTTAGACAACAGATTAAATACATGAAAAGCACTAGTGTTTACAGCATCCAGATATTAGGAAAGTTAGTTCAAGAGAAATGTCACCATACAGCTGAGTAATAAAGTCTGAGAGAGAGAGAGAATAAAGAACTAAAGTATCTTACAATGTGGCACTTAGCATGAATTTTTGTATGTTTTACATAAAAGGCTCATGGTCAATTACCAAAAATACAAACATAAAATTTCAGTCTAAGTTACTTCCTCTGCTTTTTTCATTTAAGAAATAATTTCTTCTGATATTACCTTTTAGGGAAAATAAATCCTATGTAATCAACCCATCCCGAAAAAGATAATCTGGACAAAAGTCATACAGCCAGTGTTAATTTCCAGAGAGCAGAACACTAAGAAGCAACACTCAAACTGTTCACTCCTTAAAGACCATTCTCAAATGTGGAATTTTAGAGCAATACAAGAAAAAAAAAAAAAAAAAAAGAGAGAAAAAAAAGAAGATTAAATAATTCTGGGACATGAAAAATATCCAAATATGTACAAAGCATGAGAAGCAAAGACAAGTGTATTAATATAAAATATCTGAAGGACAAAGGCATGCAGGTTTGCTTAGTGAGCAGATTATGTTTCTGGCTGCAACTCAGCAAAGCTTGCAGACAAAGAACTTCAAAATCCTTTCAATCATGAAGATTAAATTACTACAATTCCAAGTATTTGTAAAGATACATTTTTTTCAATTGTAGGTAAAATATTGAGCTTTATCTTTTACAAGACCATTGGGAAGAAAAAAAAAGTCTTCATTAAATCCAAGATATTAAAGAGCTTGAATATGGATCACATCTTTTGTCATGGAATAACATTGTTTTTTTTCTATTTGTTACAAGTACTCCAAATTCTATAGAGCATGTTTTGTGTACAAATTATTTAATCATACACAAAAGGTAAAAATTCAATTGAAATGGGCCAGAACTTAGATACAATTCCCCCATACATCAATAAGTAATAGTAATCTGATAATCCAAATTAGTATCCACTGAATACAATATATCAAGCATTGGGCTAGTGATGCTCATCACCACAAACTGCCCCCTCCCTGACCAATAATTTTTATGCATATATAGGAAATTAGAAGCATGCAAATAGAAATAAAGTAAAGCATAGCATGTTTCAGACTTCTGATAATAAAACCATTAAAAATAAAAAATCCCATCCTCCCCATGGTGCAGATAAGCTAAGAATTTAAAAATAATCAAGTTTATTAATACAGGCTTAAGAACATAAATGTACTTTTGGTTTTAAAACAATCTGCACAAATCCCACAAAATAGTTGCTTCACAATCTATAAACACAAGAAAACACTATCCCAGCATACATTTAACAAATGTTAGGTTATTATTAATAAAAACATCAAGTTTGTAATATTTTAAAATAAGGCCTTTGGAATACTCAATTCTGTATTTAGTCAGATACAGAATTGAGTGTTTTTGCCTCTTTTAACTGGCTGAGTACCAAGAGCCTGTGATATTACAAAGTGCCCATATGAAACAATCACAAGAAAACAGCAGTGTGTGTATATATGTGCATAATTACATTTGAATTTTAAAAGATTTTTTTAATATGGATATCCTAAAATCTTGCTTCAACACTCCATCATTCAACTAGTTTAAGAAAGATTGACAAACTAAAATTTACTTGAAACAGTTGGTGCAGGCTTAGGAGATTGCAGTTAATTTTATTTGATCAACGACCCAAATCTAACACTTAAAACTCAATACACACAATTGGTAAAACAACCATGCTGATAAACAGTATGCTATATATATATATATATATATATATATATATATATATATATATATATATATATATATATATATATATATAAAAAAGCAAGAACAACAAACACTAACTGCTGAAGTGGCCAGCTACTCAGAATCAATTAGTGAAAATGATTCCCAAAATCTGGTGGTGAACAGATCAGCGTAAAAAAACAAACAAAAAAACAAACAAACAAAAACCCAAACACACAAAATTCAAAGTGAAATAAAATATCCATTTTACAATCTTTAAGAGAAAGGAAAACAAATGTTGATTTACATGCATCAGGTTTCCAGTCAGTGACACTAGTCATGGGAAATTAGTAGTATTAAAGAAAACAGAGATTTTATTTATTTTTGATAGGCTCCCAATGAAGAAATGCTATGAAGTAGGAAATATTATATTTGGGAATTGTTACAATTTGGCCTTCAGATTTTTTTCTCCTGTGCAGAGCAACTTAAAGAAAAAGAAACTTTTAAGTTTATGTCCCTGCCCCATATAGTAGCGTCATTTTGTTGGGCATTCCCATTTATTTGTTTCTAAAATTGTGCTCTATGAACCATGTTTGATTTTTTTTTTTTATTTTTATTTATTGATATTGGGTTTTTTTTTTATGCTTCAGTCTTTCACATTTGTAAGAACCCCTTCACTCCCTTAAACAGCCAATGTTGCTATACTGTGTTAGTGTGAAGTATTTATTGGATTTTGTTGTGTTGCTTAGTGATATGCAGTTTAAGTTAGCTATTATTTCTTGAGATAAATGACAAGTTAACATAATAATGCAGTAATGTGTAACCAATTAGAAAGGTTCTCCAAGTGAATTTGTAGACAGCATTTATTCGTTTTAATTTTTTCTTTTTATCAGTCATGAGCATGTTAGGTCTTTACCGCCAGCAATTGGGGAGGGAGATCAAGACTCCAACAAACCAATATTGCCCACATATCCACTTGCCTATTTGAAGATTCAATTATTAGAGAAACAAATACCTTGGTTACACAAATGTTCAGATTTGTATTGTGGTAACAGATCATTACCACAGTACAAAGCTGTATTGTTTTATTTCCCTTTTCTTTGTCCCTTTTCTTCAGTTTAGATATTTTTTTTTTTTTTTTTAGATTGGTCACTGGTTTTGGCTACTTCCTGTTAGCCTTTGTTTTCACTAGAACTGACACTGTAGAAGCATGGGCCCCAAAGTTAACAGCTCATATTTTTCTCATCATTGTAAACCCCACCCCGTTGCCACTATCACCACCAGCATGTAACCTTTAAAACCAGTTCTCTCTGCATTGTTTTCCTTTAAGGTCATATTATCTGAACATCTGTTTAATGTAGCCACCGTTTATACATGCATTTTATGTTTGTATCTCTCTATGGGGAATCCTTTTCACCATGTGTTTACTGTTTTATAACCGTCGCCCTTTCTGGAAAGTTATCCAAGCAACTTTATATATATTCATGTAAGCCAAGTATTTGCTACCCACCTTTACCCATTTAGACAAATTGTCTTGCTTCAATGTTCAAGCCTCTCACTGCCATTGTTATTTTCATTCTTACCCTTTTGTTTGTTATTCAGACTAAACTAGTTCCATATGTGTACCTATTTCTTTTTCTAGTTTTAACCCTTTAATAAAACTTGCTGTTGAACAGGACCTTGTCTTCAGAGTCTTAATTGCCATAAAGTGTTTACCTGGCCGGCCTGAGGTATGCACACATAAAAGACGGATGTCTATTTAAAAGGCAGAACTTTTAAACAAAAAAAGAATTTGAAAGACTATCCGTGACACCAGTTATTAAGAATATCTGCTTAAAGAGAGAGATTATATATCTTATAAAAGTTAAAATTTCCTCTCTGCTATTTTTCAAAATGTTATGGAAAAATTTAAGCATATTTGCAATATTTGGGGAAGAAAAAAAGCGCAGTTAGAATGGCCAAGTTGGGAGGGGGGGGGGGTATAATGGATTATGCAAAAGCATCAATATCCAACCTGACAACTTGTAATGTTGCCCCTCAATCTCCAATGTGTTAGGTGGGGCTGAGGACAAACCAACAATACCTGAATAAATTAAGAGAGAGACACAAACAGTTTCAAGAAATGGCTCTGTAGTGACAGTGAGAGACACGAGAAAAAAAGAAAGGTTTTAAGCAGATACCCACCTTTCACACACACAAAGTAGGGGGGGGGTCATAAAATAACTGCACAGAAAGACTATAGATTTTACAGGTAAGTAACCAACAGGAAGGTAGCTCAATTGAACAATGTGGACGTAAGGTAGGAGAGGAAAAAAAAAAAAAAATTAAACACACACACACTTTCAGCAGAGCCACCAGGTTTATCAAATAGTAAATTAATAAAGACAAGTAACATCAATATAAAATGCTTACCAAAAGCTTCTTTAGCTAATTTCAAATCAGACTCCTCTTGGAGCTTTTTCTGACGGAGTTTTTCGGCAGCCTGTTCATTTGGAGATTTGACTCGTTTGTCTTCTGCCTGAAAAAGAAAAAAAAAGCAAAAGCATGAAACCTGCAATTCAGTTTTTCACGCACACAAAAATGCTGTTTGCAGATAAGGGATTTGTGAAAAATCAATTACAAAAATAAGTCAAATCTTGTGTAAAAGAATGAAAAATGCCTAACAAAAAAGAATATACAATATTCACTATGACAATTGAAACATACAAAAACAAGTCTATTGTAATAGAGAATGGCCAAAGCAAATAGGCAATTAAAGTTAGAATTGCTTAATATCAATCTCAAAAAGTGCAGAATTAAGAAAATAAAGTTTAAATAGTAATTAATCTAATTAACTGAAATTGCAGGCCTGGATACTGAATTATCTCATTAAAAGCTTTAAACTTAACCAGAGATTTTTCTCTCTCTTTTAAACAGATTCCCTAAGACAAACATTTTAGAATGGAAAGAATGTAGACAATAAATTTAACTGTTGAGACGTCTAGGTTTGATGAATGTCAGTTCTTTGGTTGTTTCAAATGTGGAGAGACATTTTCTCATCTAATATAAATGAAAAGTAAATATTCAATTTTATCATGTCAACAAATATCTGAATATTTTTTGTTTTTTTGGTAAAGAATGCTTAGTTTTCAAGTTGGATCAGCTTTTATGCGATCAGAACTAAAAGGTGGGAAGCTTCAAAAGATCGTCATCACTGCTCCTCATTTACAAGTAAAACATATCCATCTTAAAATATTCGTCCTAATAATTGATACAATAATTACAATACAAAAAGTTTTCATATCCATTTTCTTTTTTAACACTAAAAACAACCATCTCAAACCAAATTTTGAGGACAATTATCAATTCATGAGGTTTTCAAATGTAACTGAATAGAGCAAATTTTGCTTAGACTTGCTTCTGTTTGGATACAATGAGAAATTAACCCACCGAAGCAAAACCCGACCAATTGACAACATACCACCCATGAATATGGCAGAGAGAGAGGAGGGGGGGGGTTTCTTTAGCATTTCAGGAAGCCTTACAAAAAAAAAAAAGCAGCAATACTTTTAGAAATTAAGTGGACTGATATCACCTACCAATTTATTTCAATTAACCCAAAGCTACTCTGGAAAATATCTAACATACAAGTAAGCTATATACAAAATGGAACTTTTAAAATGCTAGGCAAATGTAGCATATTAAGTAGAAAACCCATTATCTGTTCAGGTAAGAGGTTGGTCTACAAATCATGTATAATTAATGTCCCTGCTTCATACGACAGATTTGTCAATTAAATACAAAACTGTTGTCAAAAGCAGGATAATAACAATATATCTTGAAACTTCCTTATTTCAGATGAAGACAAGTTCAACATAATGCAAAATATTCCACAAATGTCTTTAGCACAGTTCAAAATTCATGATCCTCAGCCGAATACAGAACTAATTACTTAGATCTTTACAAAAGGGTTTTTTAGTCATCAAAATTTGTCATAACTATAAAAAGTATTAGAAAAAAAAAAATTTATATTTAAAAATTGACAAAAAAGCCGACAAACTCTTACCTCTTTTTCTTTTTCTTCTTGTAACTCCTTCTCTTTCTGAGCTTCTTTCTCAGCAATGATCTCTGCAATGGGCCGTTTTTTCTTTTTCTGGAATGCCCTCACATCTACAGCAACACAACAGAATGAATAGAAGACTATGCAGATATGGGAAAGCAAACAAGTTTATAAATGACCAAAGAAACCAATTAGTTTCAGGACTGAAACATACAGGAAGAAATTTAAGAAGAAATTTACACAACACCATAATTTTTTTCTTCTGGAAACAAGCTGATTAATTAAACGACTTCAGAAGCAACTGCAAACCTGGACCAGTCAATGGTGACCCTCAACAATCACTTGGTGTCAGTATAGGGAGCAATGGTTGGTCCCCTCCTTGGTGACATTCCAGGGGTTTCAAATCAGGAGAGCAAAGAGGCTACACATTTTAGTTGGTGGATAACACTTTCATGAAAATTCTTGACCAGCTACCAGGTGACTAAGCTTTGTAAATCGAGTTAATCCTTGTTCTTTCGTGGTTTTATTGAGTAAGGCAATAAATAACAAAACAAGCACATGTAGCTAAATACCTATATCTATTCACTTCGAGAGATGCCAAGAGCAAGCAATCAGTTACCAGAATTGATGCAAAACAAGTTTTAATGAAATGAATGTTTTTTATTCTAAGCGAATGACAATCCTATGAAATGCAATTCAGCTTGAAGTCCTGAATGGATTTCAGGAGATTAAATTCCCATTATGAATGAATACCAAAAGATGGATAGCTTGCCCTGTCAATGTATCAATATTGTTAGATGGCAAACAGCAATGAGTGTGTGCAGGCCACATTAAACAAATACTGAAAAATAATTGATATCCCTGCTCTATACGGCAGACCTGTCACAACAAGACATATCTGCTGTCAAAAGGCAGGACTTACTATTAAAAAAAAAAAAAAAAAAAAAAGGCTTTATTGTCAACATTTAAGTGCATTTATAAATAATTGAAAAGAGAACTAAGATAAGTTTCAGTAGCCAGGAGTCAATGACTGTATGTGTTTATCACTTAATAGTCATATTACATGTTCAAAGATATAGTATTGTTAACCATAACACAATCAGTTGAGAGAGAGAGTATATTAAAGCAGAGATCATCACTCATGACCTGTAGAAATTCCAGGTTTTAAACCTTTTAAGAAAATATATTGAATGCAAATGATTTTACTTGATCAAGAAACAGTCAAGTAATTCTTTGCCAGTATCCAAATTTTCATTTGGATATCTATAAATAAAATGCAGTAGTTTTAATAATTAAAATAATTCTGTCTATATTTCTGAGATGAAGTATTATAACTATTTACATAGCTTGGACTTATATCACCTGAGGAAAGTGATAGTGTACAATGGCAGAAACATTGTTAATATGGCAATAAAGATGAAGACAACAGCCCAAACAATGTAAATAATTGGATTACACCTGCCTCATATGAAGATATGCTACTTAACTGGCTATTACAGGTGATGGTCAAGAATAACAGGTTATTAAAAAAAAAAAAAAAAAAAAAAAAAAAAAAAGTAATTGATTAAATATTTTTAAAGTAAATCCTTTATCGATGATAAAGCAAATCATCTATTGCAACTACTAAAATATCAAATATTGAAGTTTGATTTCAATCTCCTTAAAAAAAAGGGGGGGGGCGGGAGGCATAGAAGTCTTGAGAGAAAATTTATTGATATATTGACTCAATATCCTCCCTTCCAACACACTTTGTTTATTTCATAAGCAAAGGTGCTTTGGAAAATAGCTGACTTAAGTTACAAGAAAGCTATATCCAAAATTTAATTTTAAAGTGCTAGGTAAATGTAGCATATTAAATAGAAAACCCATTACATGTTCAGGTAAGAGGTTGGTCTATAAATGCATAATTAATGTCCCTGCTTGTTACGACAGATTTGTCAATTAATTACAAAACTGTTGTCAAAAGCAGGACAATAACAAAAATGAGATTTTAACCAAAAATAACTTCAGACACAAAATATTACGTTTATAAGAAAAAAAAAAAAAAGAAAAGAAAGAAAAGAAAAGAAAAGAAAAGAAAAGAAAGAAAAGAAAAGAAAAGAAAGAAAAGAAAAGAAAAGAAAAGAAAAGAAAAGAAAAGAAAAAGATCGAAATATCACTTTGAAAGTAGATATTGTATAAAAAAAAATACAAGGAGCAAATTAATTTTGTCCAAAATTCACAAAGTGTATGATACAAGAAAGAATTGAAAAGACCTCAATCTCATTTCAATAAATCCATTGTGTACAAAGGAAGACATATCAACTAGTTAAAAAAAAATAAATAAATAGTGTAATTCAACAAAACAATTTATAACCATGTCAGCTGTTTAGTTTTAAATCATTTGAGTTCAAGGAGCTAAAATAATGCAAAGAAATAATTTAATTACTTTTTCAATCTGATGCATGCACACATTTTATGAAGAGATGAATGAAAACATTTGCCAGGCTAATTTATTTCAAAAAAATCTCATATTTTAAACTTTGTTCCATAGTACAGTATAACTGTTAAAATTTATTTTAGAAATTTAGAGGAAAACTAAAATTTCTGCTACTACTTTTCCTCACTCGACATAATAATGGATTGATTATTCAATCTGCTAAAAGATTATGAAATCTATTAGGTATCTTTATTCAGTTCATCCAGGTCTGCACAATATAATTGAAAGCCATTGCCTGGTTTGCAACTTGGAGGGGTTAGGAATTTTTTTTTTGTGTTTGTGTGTTTCAAACAATAATATGTTAGAAAATAAACAAGAATAAGGTTAACCTTATTTCCATGCAATTTCAAATTAATTCCATTAAACTTTAGTGAACAGCTGACAATGAGCAATGCCATTCATGATATTTCTTAATTTGTAGGAAGTTTAAAAAGAATTCAAAAAATGTGTTATGGAAATGCACCAGTTTCCTTGTAATAATCATCTAACTAAAACTGTTTTTAACTAAAAATTTATTGGAGTTTAAAATGCTAAAAGAAAAATTTTATATAGTATTTTGAATCATTTTTTTCCAGTATTGATTCTTTAAGCATGGAAGGCAATAAATGAAAAATCATAGACAGTAAACACACTTTTATAATGTGATTTATAAATGAAGACTTTGGAATTAGAATGTTCTTTGGTGTGTGTGATATAGAAAGTAATTTATCACAACACTGGCCAATGTGACTTCTTTTTTTAGATGCCATTGGATTTAATGATGAGGTGGGCTTTGTCCAAGTCTAGTAGTAAGACAGCCAATGCTTGCGGGGATGGTTATTGCAGGTGTACCAATACAGCAAGGAATGTTCATTTGGTGGCATCATGACATGGGAAATAAAGCTGTGAAATTATGATCAACTCCCACCACACTAGTTCAACATTTAATTTTATTTGTTGCTATTAATCTTGATGTCGAGCCCTTTAATTATAAAGAATGCTAAGTGGGATGTGTGTGTGGTGGTGGGGCAATGAGGGAAAGAAAAAGGTAACGTTTAAAATTAACAAGAGATAACTGATATTTTAATTATCAGTAATTCTCTTAAGTGACATTTGTAATTATTAAACTATAGCCATACAATGGGGAAGGGCAAAAAAAAAAAAAAAAAAAAAAAAAAAAAATTTTTTTTAAAAAGAACTTACTGATAATCAAAGACTTCATGCTCAAGTGAAATACTAAATCAAGTCTATATGGATCATGCTACACGCACACAAAATACATTTTACTTCATGGTATTTTTATCAAAATAGGAAATTAAATTATGTACGTTTAGTAGAAACCCATTACTTGTTTGATGCAAGCAACAGGTAAAAAAAAAAACAAACTACAAAATCATGCAGAGTTAATGTCCCTGCTATATACGGCAGATTTGTCAATTAAATACAAAACTGCTGTCAAAAACAGAGGTTCACAGTCAATCAGCACAAAAGGGATGTCAAGCACCCCCTCCCCAAACACGAGAAAATTATTATTATAATAAACAAATCACTGTCAATGATTTTTATGATTATTTTGCAATGATAAAAATATCACCAAGAAGCCATGAGAGAAACTTTCCTTTTTGAAATGCTAAAGACAACATTTGTTT